AATCCTAGTCTCTCTATGTGTTAGGATGTAGGAACATGAACCTATTGTGTTGATTGAGTGTTTTATATGATATTTGAGGTATTATTCATGAATGATTGAGTGTGCTAGCTTTAACTCAATATTGGGTAAAATTGACCTAGAGGGTGGAAATCCCCTTTTGGTCCAATAGGAAGCTAGACTTCTTAGCCACTTGGGTAACCTCCTTTAGGTCGATTTAAGACCAAAATCTCCAGTATCGGAGTAGGACCGTGATTCCACTAGGATTGGTCTCTCCGCCGACCGGATTAAGTTCTGAGGGTTTGGTTTGCAATTCTTAGCCGACTAGTCGAGAGGGTTAGGTTTCCTAGCCTATCGTTGTCACCCTTAGTCCAAACGTTAAGTGAGTTAGCTTTCTTACTTGTTGCAACAATTCTCAATTAGCTAATTAAGAGAGTTAGGGATCTCCTTGGTTGATCGGTGAAGAGGGCTAGGTTTCCTAGTTATGAATCAGAATCCTTGACCTAACGGTTAAGAGAGTTAGTTCCCACTTAAAAAAAAGAGTTGGTTCCCCTAACTTATAGTTGTTGATTTTCCTTCATTTGATCGACTAAGGTAGTTTGTTCCTAGCTAGTTGCGCCCACCTTGTGGTGTAAGAACACTTCTTTCACACTAGAGCTTTGTTTGTCGCTTCTTAGAATTCTCCTCCATTCACTTTCCTTACTTGTTTAGTTTGTAGTTTTCTTAATTTTAAACCCAAAACTGTTTTGCTAGATAACAACTTAAGCGATTGAAGTAGTGGTGCATGGACCGTACCGGGTTTGACAATCAAATACTTGTCCTATATTGCACCCGGCTAGAGTTTAAACACTTGGGCTCTAGTCGGGATTAATTCGCGGTGTAGTTTCGTGCGAGTCACAATTAATTTGTAAAGAATCAAAATATTAGTCACTTGTTTGTTATGGTTAATAATTTGTTCACTTTTTTTAATTATATAATATTAAAATTTGAAATATTGACCGTTTCCAACTCGGTACTCATAAAACTGCTAATGAAAATTTTACATTTAAGTTTTGCATTTCACAAAATTTCACTAATATTTTAGTCACGCAACGCAAATAACCATTCTTCCGGCCGTCTGCTGCGGCCGCCGCCCTTTCCCTCCTTCAATCCATCTATAGACCACAATTGTCCCTAACCCAATCCAGACTTGGTGGAGCTCGATATCCACTGGAAAATGAGAAGCTGCTCCTTGCTCCCTAGTGCCTCGGTGTAACTGAACTCTAATCAGCTGTGGGAAACTAGCTCCGAGAATTGTTATTCCGTCTCCTCATTTCCCCGGTGCATTTTCTTTAGTGGTAGGTATGTTCTGCGTTTCCGGTTTCTCTCTTGTGAAACTCCATGATTCTGATTGGACATATTGACTACGTTTGAGCAGCTTCTCGAGCTTCCTCTGCGTCACTTCGGTCCCGTTCGTTCGTTCTTGTTTGTTTGCTTTCATTTTGAAGTTTGGAGGACAAATAAATTAGTGGATTAGGGTAATAATAATAATCATGCACGGGTTACTCGCTGTTTTCTCTCACCAGAGTTGTTTACAACCTTCCATTTTCAATCCTCGGCCAGTCTCCAGTGTTCCCCTGATCAAATTGGGAACTGGGTTTCTTAGTCTGAAACTCCAACTGGGTGTCCAAGGTGTGAAATGCGTGAATCCGGGTACTGAGAATGCATTTGGTACTGGTAGCGGTGTTGTTGATGAGGCCGGTGATGGAGATGCAGAGGACTGGCAATTGGAGTTCCTTGGAGAGACTGGTCCTTTGGGTCATGAAGTATCCACCATTAGGAAGGCGAACAAAGGATCGATGTTGCTAGAGGGTACAGATGGGATGGATTGGTGTTTGAGGGCGAGGAAGGTTGCCCTCAAATCGATTGAGACAAGGGGATTGAGTGAGAAGATGAGAGATATGGTTAGTGTGAGGAAAAAGAAGAAGAAGAAGAAGAGCAAGAAAAAAATGGTGAGTCAAAGCAAGAAGATAAATGAGGACTTGGAAGAGGATCTAGACTTGGATGACATAGAAAGCATTCTTGACGATGATACTTCTGATCTTCGAAGAAAGGTTAGTATGATGGCAGGTGGCATGTTTGAAGATAAGAAAGAGAAGTCAATGGAAGAGTTTGTGAATAGGTTGTCTCAGTTTTCTGGGCCTTCTGATCGGAAGAAAGAGGTCAATCTGAATAGAGCAATTGTAGAAGCTCAAACTGCAGATGACGTCTTGGAAGTTACTGCAGAGATGATCATGGCTGTTGGGAAAGGCTTGACCCCTTCACCACTGTCCCCTTTGAATATTTCCACTGCCCTTCACAGAATTGCTAAGAACATGGAAAATATCTCAATGATCAAAACACATAGGCTTGCCTTTGCAAGGCAAAGAGAGATGTCAATGCTGGTTGGTATTGCCATGACTGCATTGCCCGAATGCTCTGCTCAAGGCATCTCAAACATTTCGTGGGCATTATCCAAGATAGGAGGAGAGCTTCTTTACTTGTCAGAAATGGATAGAGTTGCAGAAGTCGCCTTGACCAAGGTTAATGAGTTCAACTCTCAGAATGTTGCTAATGTTGCTGGTGCGTTTGCGTCGATGCAGCACGCTGCTCCTGATCTCTTTTCAGCATTATCAAAAAGGGCATGTGACATTGCAAGCACTTTCAGAGAGCAGGAGCTTGCCCAGGTATTGTGGGCATTTGCTGCATTGTATGAACCTGCTGATCCTTTTCTCGACTCTTTGGACATGGTCTTCAAGGAGACAAACCAGTTTGAGTGGTGCCCAAATTTGGGTTTGTTGGTATCGAATGAAGAGAGCAGCAATAAGAATCCCGAAATGGAGGGAGTTCCAGTGCTGAGATTCAATAGGGACCAGCTAGGAAATATTGCATGGTCGTATGCTGTTCTTGGGCAGTTAGACCGCACTTTTTTTTCTAATGTGTGGAGAACAATGATTCATTTTGAGGACCAAAGAATTTCGGAACAGTACAGAGAAGATATCATGTTTGCTTCTCAGGTTCATCTTGCAAATCAATGCCTGAAGCTTGAATATCCCCAACTTCGAATGTCACTTGGACATGAGCTCGAGGAGAGAATTACTCGTGCTGGAAGAACTAAGAGGTTTAACCAGAAGATGACTTCATCTTTTCAGAAGGAAGTTGCTCGCCTCCTCGTCAGCACTGGCCTTGATTGGATCAAAGAATACATTGTGGATGGGTACACTTTGGACGCTGTTGTTCTGGATAGAAAACTTGCTTTGGAGATTGATGGACCAACTCATTTTTCCAGGAATACTGGTAGGTACTTCAGTTTTAACATGCTTCTTCTGATGTAATTGCTGAATGATTCTAACACACATAATCATGTTTGCTTTCTGTTTTTTTGCGCCTCTATCAGGAACACCTTTGGGCCATACCATGCTGAAGCGGCGATACATTGCTGCAGCTGGCTGGAATCTGGTTTCATTATCTCATCAAGAGGTGAGTTTCTAGTTTCTGCATAAGGTGAAGGGATACACGAACCGCAGAATGCTATGCTATAATGGTTCCCCAGCCTGTTTCCCAGAACGCATGACTGGCCTAGTATTGTTTGTTATCTGGCAGCTTAGTTTAATTGTATGCCAAGTTTGGACCAGACTATTCATTGAGGACCTACTAGGAAGCAATTCTGTTTGTTCAGGTTTAGACTTCTCTTTTATCCGTTCTGTGTATTGACGCTTCTGATTTTGCTGGGATGTGGTTCTGTTGTAGTGGGAGGACCTTCAAGGCGGCTTTGAGCAGCTGGATTATCTCAGGAAAATTCTGGACAGCCACCTAGGGGAGGGCACTTCAAGTTGTCCATGAACCTTTCTGGAAGGGAAACGAGAAAGGAACTGAAAGGGAGGAGCAGCTGGGTTTGTGAATTACATCTGCAGCTAGATGTATGAAAAAACATAATCACTGTAAGCTAATTTTGGAAAACATGATAAGAGTCTTGGTTGAAGTAAATGACGACTTACACTGATACTGCTGAAAGAAAATTCATTAACCCACGACCCGTCTAGACATCAAAGCTCATGAAACAAGTTCCATCAGCTAATCTTTTGTTAGCTTTATTAACTAAAGATGATACAACATGGGAATTGCAGACGACCTTCTTGGCAGAATTTTCAGACTTTCATGGATTCAAACTTCTTTCTTACCGCATCCCAAAAGGCTGGTATGGCAATGTCGTCCGGCAGTTCCTTAAATGATGGAAGGTAATTTACATCCACAATGACATGGTCATTGCTGCCTTCCTGAACCTGGAGGTGCACAAGTTCAAAATTTATTCACAGAGATAGATGAATACGAATAAAAACCAAGCACAGTTTAGTCGATGGTGATTAGTGGGAGATGCTTTACCCAAGTTGACACAGTTTGTAAGTTTACATTGGCAAGAAATGACCCTAACTCGATAAAGGGTGAATAATATCAGAGGAGGCAATAGAGATGGAGGATATAAAATGTTTACTTACAACAACATCAAAGCCAAAGACAGTAAGGTGAAGCTTTCTGGTTAACCAATGTGCAGCATCTGTGACTAAATCAATATCAAAGTGGTCCAAAGTGGCCCTGGAGGACTCCCCACCTTGTAAGCTGTCTGTGCTAGTCGGTAATGATTTCAAGCTGGAGAAGGAAACAACTTACGGTGTAAGATTTGTGATTGCAATGATCATTGATGGATAAGGAATCAACAGGGACAAGAAGTTTCAGCTACCTGTTAAAGATTATAGGTGAAATTCCATTTTCAATTGCCATTTTCGTCAATATATCAGCATTTGGAACAGACCTCTTAACGGCATAGAAAACTTTCATGCCAATGACATAAATCTTGAACAACGTTGATGAATGGTTTACGTATTCCTGCGGTGCCAATTTTTACCTGTTGTAAATATAAAGAGGAAAACCGGACGTCTATAACCCAGAACAAAGTCGCTTTTAATATAAGAAACCCATAAGATGGTCGCTAAACCAATCATTTATAACTTGCTAAAATGGCAAGCACTATGATACAGTTAATCAATAGCACACTCAAGTGATAAAAATCCAAGACTATCACATTATAAACTACAGTTAGTAGGTCACTTTACGAACAAGAGTCGAATATAATTAAATTTAAACTGCTTAAGTCTTGTGACTAAGAAGTATCAATCAGAGTTTAGAACCAAAAAATATTTACATAACAAAAGCAGCTAGAATGTCCATACTTGCCTGAGCAACTGCTGGTAGAGGAACACTTAGGTTCTTAAAATCTTCAGATTTAAAGACAATCGCCTGGACATGGAAATTATATTGATAAGAATGATGCTGTTAAATTTGAGAAATGGAGCCACCAACATCCTAGAGCAGTCATTGTTTCAACCAAAATAAACTTGGATAATGAACAGCACGTTGGGATCTCTGGTGCCTTTACCAGAATAAGATATAACCTTATAAGCGATGAAGACATCTTCAAATAAGATGATAAGCGTGCAATCCAGACCAAGAGTATCGTAAGATCCAGGAAAATATAAAAAGGAAATTATAGTATCTAATTTCCATACAGTAAATTAGATAACAATCACAACTTCTAGTCGAAGATACTTGACCAACATTGTATAAACCAGCAATAAAAATATGAGGAGACAACTCTTACCATGCTATGAGCATCAGCAACACCACAAGCAACTTGGGGTTTCACTATACTTGGGAAGGATAGTTTCGTAGCAGATAGCCTTTGATCCATCTCGGGGTCATTGAAGTCATCAACCTGTACATTTGAACTCAATTCATACTAACCTCAGAACTTCTCTCCATTATTGATTTACAAGATATCAGTTTCCATTTTACTGCATCAAATAGATACCATTTTCAATCAAAACACCTTTAGGAAATTGGGCCCTCTGATGGTGCAGCAGCGTCCTTTGTTAAGATCCTCCAACCCATTCAGAATTTGTTGTATTTTCAGTCGATCCACAACAGGATATATTTTATCAAGTGGATCAATTACACAGCATTCAGCATGCTGCTCCATATATCTGAAATGATGAACAACTTTCAGAGAGTAGTCAGTATCAGAGCATCGATATTGATCACGAAATGTTTGCAAAACAGAAGCAGAACAAAGAGTATAAATCGATGCCAGTTCAAAGTCAGAAGGAATTTGCATGATGGCCAATAAGGTAACAGCCAACCAAAGATTCTGAAGCCATATCATGATTCCGATGGAGAAGCCATCTAGGAAAACTACAAGGCATCGCATTTGAACTACTCAAATTATCCTCACAGTCTATTAAGTTACCTTTTTAATTCTTGCACTCCTTTTGTGTAAGTGATAGCATTTGATGATTCTGTGGAGTCACGTAAGTCAACGGAGATGATTTCATCTGTTGCTTCATGCAAAATTGCCTCTCTACAATGATATGTAAGAGAAATGAATAAGCAAAACAAACCGATACAACCAGAACAAAAGCTATAACTTAACAAAACTAGGCCAGCTTCACTATCTTGACATAGAAGCTAAACACTAAACAGAGAACCCCCCCCCCCCCCCCCCCATTATTTAGGTATATAACAGCATGAAAATAAGTGCATTCAAATATGTTTAATTAACATGGAACAGTACAATATGAACCAACTTTTTTTTGGGCAAGTATGAACTAACTTTCAATTACAAAGATCCTAGATTTCTATTGAACACCTCCATCACCACAAACCATAAGTTCCCTCCTTAACTTTTCATTACTTTCTATATGCAAAGATAGTGATCGATTTTCTTAGCAAAAATCTATCCTTGGACTGGCTCACCTTAGCAAAATCTTGTTGACGAGAATGCTTCATGAGATACCCAACCTTCACAGTTGTGATGCTAAGTTCCTTCAAATGTCATCCGCGATGGATGAATTGTCGTCAGCCAAGAACAGTCAAAAGTATGGTTGCAGTAAACAAATGAACTCACTTACCTCATCAACTGATCTATCCATGACTTCATCCTCGTGATCTTTCTCCTTGCCACCTCTATCGACTCTTTCTGGGTTGTACGGAGATGCCATACCCTGATAGCAATACAGTCCCTAACTATAAGAAGTTGGCAGAATAGAAGAACAAGACATGCAAGACAAAGACAAAAGGCAGACACCTCGCTCACAAGGATTGGGAAGAAAACTAGAGTTGCAGCGATATGTATGGCGAAGAGCACAACTTTAGCTTTCAACTTTGAAAAGATTTCCATTCATTCCCTTCCCTTCCCTTGATTGTAGGAAAGCTCTTTAGGATTAATTCCCTAAATACACATAAAACTAAAGCAAATTCCTAAACTACCACACTTTTAAAAAAATTTCCCAAAATACCTAAGTTTGGAGTGGTTCGAGTTTGAGAAACTCGAACTACTAACCGGTTCGAGTGTAGGAGACTCGATCTACTCGTAGATCGATGATATAAGCCTCGAACCAGAACTCGAACCACTCCTTTGAAATTTCCAACCACCTTAACTTTGTGCTCGGTTATCCGATCGTAGCAAACTTTTTTTTTATTTTGCATAACTTTTCAAGGACTACAACTTTTATAATAGAAATATTTTCAGAATATATGTGAAAATGTGAAAATTAAAGTTAAAGTTACTCCCAAAACCCCTTATATTAAAAACTATTCATATTTTGAAAATTTATTCCTTGTAAATGTTGTAGTACTCAAAAAGTTATGCAAAATAAAAAAAAACTTTGCGACGTTCGGATTGCGGAGCACAAAGTTATGATCCTCCAAAGTTTGACAAAATCGAAAAATTGCTCGTTTAGGGGTTACAAATGACATTTTCTCGGAGCGAAGGCACAGGAAATTTTTTTATATATAGGAAATTTCTGCAAAAAGAGCAATATTTTTCCAAACGAGAAATTTTTGGATGGCTATCTTCCTTGTAAACGTCATTTGCTACCCATAAACGAGCAAATTTTCGAATTTGTCAAACTTTGGAGGATCATAACTTTGTGCTCCGCAATCCGAACGTCGCAAACATTTTTTTTTATTTTGCATAACTTTTTGAGTACTACAACATTTACTAGGAATAAATTTTTAAAATAGGAATAGTTTTTAATATAAGAGGTTTTGGGAGTAACTTTAACTTTAATTTTCACATTTTCACATATATTCTGAAAATATTTCTATTATAAAAGTTGTAGTCCTCGAAAAGTTATGCAAAATGAAAAAAAAGTTTGCTACGATCGGATAACCGAGCGCAAAGTTAAGGTGGTTGGAAATTTCAAAGGAGTGGTTCGAGTTCACTGAACTCGAACCACTTCAACCCCACATGGTTCGAGGCTTATATCATCGATCTACGAGTAGATCGAGTCTCCTACACTCGAACCGGTTAGTAGTTCGAGTTTCTCCTACACTCAAACTCGAACCACTCCAAACTTATGTATTTTGGGAAAAATTTTTAAAAGTGTGGTAGTTTAGGAATTTGCTTTAGTTTTATGTGTATTTAGGGAATTAATCCAGCTCTTTATCAATTCTTCCGAGACCTCATATTAAAATATACATCAATTTCATTGGCAAACAGCATATCGAAATGAAGGAGAAAAAGAATCTCATCGGCTTAAATGAATGACATTTTCAAGAGAAGGGTTTCCAAGAAGGGCATGCAGAAGTAATGGCGAAAACAAACAGGAGGTAACAACTCAAGGAGAAGAAGAGGCTTCAGAAGCGATAGCGTGCGTGGTTGTCGTCTGTGAATCATGCAAATAAAGAGGGTTGGGGCGATTCGCAAGCAGTCTCCATCCAGTTCAGGCAACCAGAATCAGACAAGGGGGCTAAGTGGGTCAATAGCATAAAAGGTCACTTACGTTTAACTAACAAATCAGTCAGTTACGTCTCAATTTTAACAAATCGGTCACTTACGTTTACACTAACTAACTAACAAGTACTTTTGTCAACACTCCATCCAAAATTGTCATGTCACCTTGCCATGTCACCAAATAATATATTAAAATAATCAAATTCAAAAACCAAACCCAACCATTCTAAATTTCCAATCCCATAAAACTAACCAACCTAAGTCCCCTGTCCTGCCATCGCCGTCCAGCCTCGCCGGACGCTACAGTCATCGCCGCTGCTTCAAACTTCTCCTCTCTGTGGACTCCCCTGGCGCCAACGTTGTCGCCCTCCTTTCTTCAGCCACTATGGCTTCTCTCACTCACGCCAAATCGCTTGGCGATGACAACTCTCATCCTCCGGCCATCGTCGTGGGCATCTTCTCTTCCTCTCTCCAGCCAGCCGGTCTCCCTTGTCCTCCTTTGTTCGCATCCAATCCCAAGCTCGCCTCCTCCCTATTCGAAGAATGAGAACAGAGAAAGGGAAGGTTCTGCTTTTCCCTCTCTTTATGTCCCAAAGGCCAAAACTGAAATCCCTTTTCGCCGAAAAAAAAAGCTAAATCCCTAAAAACATAGAGTAGATCCACCTATCACAAACAGTTGGGATCTCAGCTCTAAAAAAGAACAAAAAACCCTAAAAAAATGACTGCTCCCTCTCTGTATTTATTGAGTTCCAATTACTTGGCCTTCTTCAATTCAAGAAAAATGAAAGGGGGAATTAGAGTGAGAAAGAGAGACAGCCAGTGCGTGAAGGGAGAGATAGAGTGGGTGTGGCATGTGGAGTTGGGTGGGGCCTCTGTTAGGTTGGTTAGTTTTATGGGTTTGAAAATTTAGATTGGTTGGGTTGGGTTTGGTTTGAATTTAATTATTTTAATATATTGTTTGGTGACATGGTAAGGTGCATGGCAATTTTGGATGGAGAGTTGACACAGATTGACGGAATTACTAGTTCGTTAGTTAGTGATAACGTAAGTGACCGATTTGTTAAAATTGAAACGTAAGTTACCGATTTGTTAGTTACTGCAAACGTAAGTGGCCTTTTATGCTATTGACCCGCTAAGTGGGAGAGAAAGAAAGGAGATCCAGGTTGTAAACCCGCGGGTTGACCCACTTTGATTCTGATCCGGCGAAAAAAATAGGTCGCATGCATTCGTTGGGTCGATCGCTACAAGGTATCGGGTTGGAGGTCAAATCGTGTCATTTTTTTCTTTGGTTTGCGAAATGCGCCTATTTTTCGATTTTTCTTTTCGCCTAACTCAATCTTTGGAATCCATAGTTGAAAATTTGAATATTGATGGTATATAAGTGTGTGTGAATTTTCACTATATGTTGGATCTAAGTATGACATGTTACTTTGGTGTAATATTATATGTTATTACTCGGGTAAATTGCAAGTTTGGTCACTAAGATTACAAAAAACGTTCATGTTTGGTCATTAAAAATATTTAATTCTGTTCGTGGTCACTAAGATATAGTTATCGATTCAAGTTTGGTCACTCTCCATTAGACTCCGTTAACTTTTGCAGATTTGGCAGTCAACCATTATAGTTGACATTTAAATGTGTGACATGGCAATTAAAAAATAAAAATAAAAAATTTAAATTTTCCACCTCATTTTTTCGGTAATTATTTCCTCTCATTAAGCTCACTTGATCAAAATCAAGTCGCACAAAAACTCAGATGTACATCTTACAATAGAAAGCAACTAAACATTTATAATTGTAGATTCAAACTCCCTATCACTCTACTGCGCCTCATAGCTTCTCGGAATCTCACGTCCCCTTGCGCCAACAACCAATTTTCTTCCCGCATCTGCAGAAAAACTACCTCCCAAAGTCTTGGCCTCTCCCCTAAAAAACGCGCTTACAACGCTCCTTCCACACCAAGCTACATATCTAACACCAAACAACACTCAACACAGGGCCATCCACACTATTTTTAGCCAGCATACTCACTTCCTGTAACAGCTGCTCCCAACTAGAACCCCAACTGGACAGTAGGGTACCAAATACTGCATTCATCAGGTAACCAGTGTACTCACAACTACAATATAAGTGAAAACGACTCTCCTCTTCTACTTCAGACATCACACAGACTGCATCGCTAATCTTCCCCCACTGCTTTAGCTTAACTCGAGTCACAATACGATTTAAGATGATAAGCCACATTAGAACTCTATTGCGAGGTAATGTATACTTACCCCATATCACTTTCCACCAAGAGACAACTGGTCGATGCACTCTGATGGACTCCCAGACTTGCTGCACCGAGAATCTTTTCAACATCTTCCCCTCCTAGAATACCGGATTCTGTGCATTAGAAGTAATTCTGTACTAGTACCAACCTCGTAATTTCAACAGCTGTTTACATAGCCATGATCCAGTCATAGTAGGTTGTAGCTCCCAAATGGACTAACCTCGCAATTTCCACCTCATTTTCTAACTATTAATAGCTTAAAAATAAAACGGTAAATAACTTATTGACTTTCTTTCTTCTTCTTCGTCCTATTAGCCCCCTAATTCCACAATGACAGAGCTATACACTACAACAAATTCGGCCTATTAGGACAAAACTTTTACTTCGTCATTTTTTGTTCGTCACAATAGGTATGGTGATATGATAAAAATAATATATGTCCTATTTGGTATGCCTAATGTGAAAAAAAAAATTGTTGTCAGAATAATTTGTGTGTTAAAGTGAGTAATGTGACAAATATTTCGTGTCACAATTAATTTTGTCAAAATAGGCGTCCCATATCGGGATGTAAGAGACTCAACGGTGACAAATTTCATTTTGTCAAAATAGTTCGTCATTTAAAGTGAGTAATGTGACAAATATTTCGTGTCACAATTAAGTTTGTCAAAATAGCCATCTCATACAAGGATGTAAGAGACACAAAAGTGAAAAATTATATCGTCATAATATCGTTTTTCATATTATTCCTCAAAAATTCATGCATAGAAATTTGGCTCCCCCAAACTCCCCCTCCGCCCCTAATTCTAAATTTTGGTTTGTCAAATATTTGGCTCCACAATTTCAAAATTTTCGGCCTTCCCGCTAAATCTCCATTTCTCGGCGCCATTGTGACGACGACGATTTCCCTCATTGAACGCGTCCCGCCGACACTTGGGGATTTAATTGAATCGTTTACTTATCCAGGTCACTAAAATGATTCAGTTTCCACTTAGAATTGTTTTGTACACAAAATCGATAAAAGCTTTAGTAGAATCGATAAAAACGGTAAAAAAATACCAAAACTCGTTTTTGCAGCAATTTTGTGATATTCCAAACCATGACCAGAAAAGTTCCAATTTGACTAAAATGACACCGTTTTCATATTTAAAATAAATTGTTTTAAAAGGGGTGATGTCGGGCAGTCGACAGTCGATCCCCTCCTGATCCAAATCCCTAATCACTCGAGCAGGGGTGAAATCGCCTCCCTCGCGGCTTCAAGTGCCACCATCGCCACCAGTGCCGACGCGAGGCCTTCATCCTTACCGGTTCCGGCCAGCCATCCATCTCCGATGAGCCTTCCCAAATCCTCCTACCTAGCACTGCCTCCCTCACTCCACCGTTGCAACTCTAGCTCCGAGTCTCCGACCAACTTTTGTCGCTGCCTCCACCTCTGTTTCCTTTGCCGTCTCGAGGTTCACCTCAGGTATTCTTGCTTCTCGCCATTCATTTTTTTTTTTTGGGTTACCGAATGGTATAACAAGAATACAGAGAGAGCGAGAGAGAAGTGACAATGGGAATGGGTTGCTGTTGGATTCTTTGCTTTTAGCAGCAATTATATTCTTTGCATAATATACGAACCGTCATTTCATGTACTTTACTTTGTCTTCTTATTTCAATTTTTATTAACGATTGAGCATCTAGTATTTGTATGCCGATGTCCCGAGAAGATTCGATACAGTTTCAGTTCCATTGGTCAATTCTTTCTAAGACTGAATCTGTAG